GGCTAATATATAACAATGAAAGATAAGAGTAACGTATTAACAAATAAAAAAAATCGAAATTACATCGAAAAGTGGCACATCTTTAGAGGATGGAATCACGGGTGTAAGGTTTGTGACGAATGCGATCATCATTCACACCTATGCAAAAAAGTAGCGGATGGAATATATAGACGATGTGAATGTGATAATTCTCAAATAATACAGATCAAATGATAAAATCGTATGCCTACGTTTTAATTTGCGTAAAGATTTTCCTCTTTATTTTTATTCGAACCACATTGCTAGATGTCTAATACCGACGAGATATATCCTGGCCGAACAGGCAAGCATGGTAATGAAATAATGGGAAAGATATTTTAAGTACTAATCATGTTTCGTTTCGATAGCTCTTTTAAATTATTTGGAAGGGACTGATCCCAGCCTTTGGTCATACGTTGATTTTTTGAAACTAAATCGTACCCTTATCATAAATTCACCACCTTTCAAAGATCAATGGAATACTCTCGATGGTACATGGAATAAGCGATTTATACAAGCAGGAAAAGAGCTATTAGACTTAACGTTAGGGGAAGCTTTTGAAAGTAAGGTAATTTCATTCCAGTAACTTTATTATAGTTTCATTGCGGTAAGGGAACTCCTTGACACGTGTCTACTTGTCTTGGAGTATCATGAGTCTTCCTGGCCCTAGTGATGGTATGGAAAACTCCTTGCCACGTGTTACTTGTCTTGGAGCATCATGAGTCTTCCTGGTTCCTGCCATTGCGTTCTGCTCTGTTGTGTTTTCGGTTCGGTTTATTAAGGTGTTGAAACGACTAATTGTATACTCTAATTATCTACTCTATTTAATAAGGTGAACCTGGAGCGTGCCAAATCCAACCTGTACTCCTTTTGGCAAGAAGTGATCACTGAGCGACTACGGGTAAGACCAAAGAAAATATCGGAATTTTTAATTTATTAATGCATTCATTCCTGAAAAGAATCTATAATTATCTTACTGTATTAGCTCCAAGTTCAAATCACTTACGAGAAGGAAACACTTCTTACGTTTGATGAATCAGGTAAATTCTTTGGAAGGCAACTGCGCTTACCATACAATAAGGAGGCAACCTCTTCAGATGATAAACGTGTTTTTGATAGCACTTTAGATTCAGATTTAATTTCCCCTGTGGGGGCAAAGAAGGTTAGCATTGAATACTTGTAAATAATCCCGCAAAAATTTGGTCTCACCTTTTTTTATATTTTGATGTGCACAGATCAAATCCTGTAAAGGAGATGTGAATGTCGAGAAAGCTAACGGCGACAGCGCTATAAAAATGACTTCAACTGCGTATCAACAATTTACGAATAAATATCAAAAAATTCCAAAAGAAGATAAATGGACTTTGTCAACCGAAAAAATTGTTGAAGATGCATTATACGTGTTTGGAATGAAATGCTCACACGAACAGTAAGCATTTACTCGTTGCTTTTATGTATTGTTTTGCAATTTAATGTTCATTTGTTTTTACTTTATGAGAGTCTCTGTCATTCTTTTTTAATCGACCCGGACGATAAGAACTATATACAGCAAGGCATTTTCACACGTGAGGAATTAGAAGAAATTAAAAATTTTAGCAAGAAAGAATTACCATTAGTACCGGATGATCTTTTGAAGTATCTTAATAGTTTCCGAAAGGTTAGTATTTTTTTCTTAATGTTCTTCACATTGTATAACTTACTCAGACAATGTATCAAATAGTCCAATACTTCTGACCTGCGAGAATTGATCTTTCGCTCTGATTTACGCGATCAACCATTCGATCGATCAAAAAATTTCGATTATGACTGGATACGCAATACTATATATAATCTGTAAGTATAACTTTGATTGTGCCATACTGTTATGCATATGATTTTTAAGGATGTTGTTATAATAACAGCGTGCTTGAATATGAAGCGAATCATCTCGAAAAGGATCACCTTGAAACATGGATCATGCTACATGTGTGGTCGTTTATTGATAAAGCCTTCTTAGATATAGAGGGTATGGAAATTGTTAGGTAGGTTTTTTTTCTAGAAAACATTTTCCCGCTATTATAAATTTGATTAACTATTTCTTTGTAACAGAGGTGAATCATGTAGCTATGCATCATCAAATAGAAAAAATTCACAACGGGTGGTTGCATCAACAGAACCGATGAAAAGAAAGGCAATGGGTCGGCGCGGAGATTTAATAATCCGGAAATGGCATACTGAATATGGGTGTAGCGAAGCTGGAAAAATATTTGAAGGAATCAATGGTACAAAGATTATTAAAGAAGGTGGTTTGAAAATGCCCAAAATGCTTAGAGATATGTTCATTGATCTTTGCAAAACTATGGAAATGCGGAAGAATAAAATTAGAAGGCTGGAAACAGTCGGTTTTATCATCTCGGGTATGTATAAGCCTTTACATTTGGTAATTCTTGGTTCGTAAACTCAATTTTATCATTTTAGGCTTGAGGATATCACTGTTGCGATTGGATTTACCAGCGGGGCATGTCTGTAGATTGTCACGGACACGGCTTTTTGAGATGCCAACTCAAATCTCTGAATTCGGTGCAAAGGCCCTTCCAACAATAAGCTTGGTATGGAAAGCAAAGGTAAATGTCGCTTTAGGTATTTATAATTGCCTTCATTCACTTATTTTTTTCAAACATTTTAAAGGCAATAGTGAAAAATGTAATCAAACTAATGGAGGAAGAGGATCTGACGGAAGAATAACAGCTTAAGATGTTACAGAACTGTGATGAAAGTGGTTTTACGACACCACCACCTAGATTACAATTAATGTCAAGCTCTGTGACGCCAGAAAGTAAACGAATGAATAAGAATGATGAAGAGTGAAGGCAATGTTTATTATTACTACTTCAAACCGCTGAACTTTTTTATTGTAATCGGGATCTTTGAGTCACATTATTATCCAAAAATTAATAAAATGTACCCACAGTTTGAGCTTCTGATTTTCAACATGTATATGGTGTATACGTGCACCGGAAAAATAAAAAAGTATGCATTTAATGCGTATATATGACAATCGTCTTATAAACACGCACCTGATACTGATTATCGATGTAATCCATTGCTTATCGCAAAAGTACATGAATAAAACGATCACCTATCGATCACGGTTGCGGTCAGGGAACAAAACCGGTTGATCAGCGGAGTAATAAAAAAAATATAACATGTAAATTTATTTCCTAAAGTTAGGCTAATCATAACACGATTACGACTATCACGGCTCAATCACGGTTGATAAAATAGGGATAATTATATGAAACACACATCGATCACGAGCTATATTACGGTTGAATAGCCTGCGAAGTAAAAAATTAGATTCGAAGTTTTGAATAAATCTACTTTCTATATAAAACTGTTAATAACCAGACATGTCAGAATTAGAATTATTGAAACAGCGAATCATTGTGCTTGAGGCTGAGAACATTGAGGTTAAGGCGCAAATTGCATTGCAGGCCCGAAGGGGCGACCCTAAAGGGTCAAAATCACGTAAAAATAAAACATGGGAAGGCCAC